GATGGCAGAGAGGGCTGACCAGATGTCCGTGTATGCCTGGAGCCACCATCTGGTAGGCCAGCTGGGTCTCTAGGCTACTCTAAGGGCAGCTCCAAACTCCTTCACTTTAACCACAAAACTGCATTCCTGGCCGGGCGCAGTGGCTCACACCTGTAATCCCAGCACTCTGGGAAGCCAAGGCAAGTGGATCACGAGGCCAAGAGTTCGAGACCAGCCTGGCCAACATAGTGAAACCTCATCTCTACTAAAAATACAAAAATTAGCCAGGCATGGTGGTGCATGCCTGTCATCCCAGCTACTTGGGAGGCTGAGGCAGGAGAATCACTTGAACCCGAGAGGCGGAGGTTGTGGTGAGCCAAGATCGCACCACTGCACTCCAGCCCGGGAAACAGAGCAAGACTCTGTCTCCAAAAAATTAAAAAAAGAAAAAAATTCTGCATTCCCTGACTCTCAGGAGCTGCCTGTGGAGGGAGGGGCCCAGGGCACAGGCACCTTATTTTCCTCTCATTCTTCAAAAATTGAGAGAGATAAAGCAGAGTGTCAACAATTATTGAATCCAGACACCAGGCACAGTGGCTCACATATGTAATCCCACTTGAGACCAGGATTTGAGATGAGCCTGTGCAACACAGCAAGACCCCGTCTCTAAAAAAAAAAAAAAAAAAATAGCTGGGCATTGGCGGCCTGCGCCTGGAGTCCCAGCTGTTCAGGAAGCTGAGGTGGGAGGGCCGCTTGGGGCTGTTTTCAAGCGTTGAGGCTGCAGTGAGCGGTGATCGCACCACTGCACTCCAGCCTGGGCAGCAGAGTGAGACGCTGTCTGAAAAAAATAAAATAGAAAATATTGTTGAATCTAGCCGGAGAATATCTGGTATTATTTATACCATTACACCACTCTTTCGATTTCTCTGAATGTTTGAAATTTTCCCAAATAAAAAACTGGGGTAGATTTTTTAAATCTAAAAAATGTTTAATAGTTTAAAAAAAAATTACTTTGGCTGCCGAGCAGAGACTGGTTTGGGGGGAAGTGACCACATGAAGAATCCATAAAATCCTGACTCAGTATCCCCCTCTGTGACAGACCTGAAGTGGGGCACTGAGAAACAACAGAGCCCCCACAAGGAGTGCACCCTCCAGCCTTGAAGAAAGTGGGGAACAGTGGACGGGGCATGGCAGGCAAGTGTAGACCGAAGGGTGTTCAGGTTTCTGGCCGCCCCCACCCCCCAGGCTGCTGGCTCCTGGTCCCTTCACGCCACCCACCCCACAGTCCAGGAGCCCCCCATGGCCAGGTTCTCTCCTTCTGGTTTCTGTGCCCTTTCTAAAGCAGCACGGAGCCCAGAAATGGGATCGGGTGCCAGGGCCTCTTCCCCACTCTCTCCTTCCAGAGAAACTGCCCTGCCCACCCACAGAAGGTCACCATGACCGTTCCCATCAGCGGCCTCCCTCCCTACCACTCCTTCCCTGCAGGCCATTGGTTCCAGAATTTCAGCCCACAAGGACCTGCCCAAGGCAGAGCTCACCTTGTTCTTTCCAATGTGGCCCCTGTCTGCCCCTCCAGTGTGCTGGGCCACAGCGGAGCCACCCCAATCTCAGCTCCAGCCAAGCTGATGCTTGCATTTCATTCATTCATTCATTTCATTCATTCATTCATAGCGTACTGCTTAAGAGCGTAGGCTCTGGGCCAGATTGCCTGGGCCAGATTGCCTGGCTCTGAACCCAGATTGCCTGGGTTCTTCCATTACTAACGGTATAATCATGGAGAAGACACTTAACATGTAGCTTAAGAGACTCAATTAATGAATTCCTCTTCCAGGAATGCTGTTCCTGATTCTTGAAGATACAGCCCAAGTCCTGTCTCCTCTAGGAGGCCCTCTGGGATTTCCCCCACCCTCACCACTCTCTCCTCTGAATTCCTTTAGCCTTTTCTGTCTCATTTGCTTCTGGAGCACTTCACCCATGCGACCCCGTTGGGTTGAAAGCCAGGGCCATGCCTTATCCAGGGGCCCTCAGGAAGCAAGCTGAGTAAGGAATCCCATCAGAGCTAAAGGACAGCCCCAAGGCCAGCCAAGCAGGTCTCCTTCCTTTCCAGAGCCTCCACTGTGAAGTGGGAGGTTTGAACTAGAAGAGCAATAAATTCTCTTTTAACAGACCCCAAGCCCTTGCTGCCCCTTGATAGCACCTACAAGCTATGCAGAAAGGAAGCTTAAATGTCCCTTACACATAGGAGGGAGGTCCATAGCTTCCTTAGAGCTGGAAAGCTCCATGAAGCAGGCAGCCCTTCCCTGGGAATCAGGGAGGCCTCCACCAGGGCAGCCCCTCCCTCATTTGAGACTCTCAGTGATGCATTTGAAACTTGGAAATTTCCCTCCTGCTTTTGGGAGTTGGAAGTATCTGAGTATCTGAGGAAGTGATGGGGAGAGAGCTCTGTCCTGTGCCCCTGGAGGGAGGACTGGGGAGGATTAAGGACTATTTGCCAAAC